TGAAGTTAAATGCAACCATATTAAGGGACAGTGTGGCTTGCTTCTAAACTTTTGCCAACCGCCAATTTTTTCAGATCGCTCTCTCAGAGAGCTTGCTGGATCGTGCAGTGGCCTGGGTATGGAAGGGTTCTGGATGTACTGCAGTTTCCCAGCCCTGCTTTACAATATGGACTTCTATGTCAGAAATATGGGGAAATTGTTCTCTTTGAAGGATACAGAACATAGGGCATCTTTACAGTCCATAACAGCACGTCCACAATCCAACTCAGAATTGTGTGTGCTCAAGCTCACTTTGTATGTAATGTGGGTAGATGCTTGGCTCTAGAATGGATGGTTGGTCCATAAAGTCAGATCAGTGCTCCATCTAGCTTATCCATTCCAACTGGTAATCGCTGTTCAGATGGGCCCCAGCCCTACTTGGAGATGAAACTGGCACAGTTCCTTGCTTTTGCAGGAGGAGCTATAATCTAACAGAACAGAAGGGAGTGACTGATTTTCCCTGAGCTCCTGGGCCTCCCACTCTTCTTCAAAGAGTGGTCCAAACGTCCAGGTCCGGGGATCAAAGAGAGTCTTCTTATACTATCTAACCATTGTTTCACCTAGTTTCTTGAGTGGCAAGGGCTTCCCAAAGTTTTTCCTAGCCTGGAGAAGCCTGGATTGAATAAGGATCTTCTTTGTCTAAAGCATGCACTGTACCAATAGGAGAGCTTGGGAGAGTATAGGCAAAATTTGGCTCTCCCTCACCTCACTGAACAGGGGGTTCCACTCGAGAACTCCACTCACAGGCTCAAATGTGTGTGAATTTATCACTGGTTGGAAATGGCAGTACCCATCCTGCTTCCTCAATGAACTGGTTAAAAACCCTCCTACTGCCTAGCAGCTGACCTGCATGAGCAAAAGCCTCTCCTATTAGAGACCGTGCACTGTATCCAAGGGTATCTATTTGGCACCACTGGCCAAAGGATGCTGTCTCTTGGTGCAGCCTAGCCTGTCTCTGCCTTCTGGGGAACATTCAGAGTGGATTTGATGCCGGCCTGGAGAGTGCATGAAGTGCAGTGCAGAGGAAAGGAAGAGAAGTCCCATTGGCAAAGACCCACACGATGCCTGGTGTAGTTCCACAGCTGTGCTTTCTTTAACAGGGTCAATGTAAATGCTGAGCCTTCATATGCTTAGGAAAGTGTATGCCTCTGTTCCGTTCTTTATGGCAATGTTACATTTCTTTTAAGCAATTCGCTCAGTGGACACTGTTGCAATGTAGGAATTGGCTAGAGGCGATTTGAACAATGTCTTTTGAAGTTCTACATCGTCAATGTCTGAGACAAGGCCATTGTTGTGGATAGTGCAGAATTCTACACTATTTGGCTGGCGTATGTTCTGCTTGGTGGTTCACTGCTAGTGCAGTACCATGAATTCCTTTGCCAGGTTCTTTGCTGTCTTGTTCCTAGTACTAGTTTTCCTCCATCAGAACCACTTATGAAGATGCTTTGACTTTCTAGATCTGCTTCCCACAAGGCACAGAGGAGGCTGAAGGGAGAAGCCTCCAAAGCCTGGGTCTCTCATTCGGACCCATCCGGCTTTTCAGCAGATAACCACAAGCAACATGCCCTAGTTATCATTTCCAATTCTCATGGACAGTCTAATCCACAAATCATCTCAACCCAGGCACTTAGTTGGAAACTAATAGTACACGCTAGATGTAGGATGAAATTCTAGGCATGATTATTTGGAAATAACTTCCATTGACACCAATGGGGCTCAGTTCCTGTGAATGTGTGCTAATGAAGCTTTTGGAGTAACTTGAACAGGTAACTTAATGCAATCATATGCATGTTAATGCAGAAGTAATTCCCATTGTGTTTTAACAGGATTTACTTTTAGCAAGTAATGTTTACAGGCTTTACAAGGCTTTTCTAATGATGAGACATGCATGTATAGTAACCTGCCTAGACAGCTTGGATATCAAAGGCATTGTCCCCTGAACACATTTCCACTTCTTATTGTAGACCACAATGTTTGTGCATTTATTATTGTAATTTCAAAAATAAATATGTAAAAGCTTCCTTTAGAGTTTGTTTTTCTTCCATTTTAATTCTTGGTGGTATCCTGAATTTTGTATTCCAGCAGGCTTTGTAGGGTTAAAATATTTTTATAGAATTCTTGCTTGGATCCAGGCATTCAGTCAATCGTTGAAATGTTTTGGCTGGAAGGGTTTTGATCCCTATGAAATTCTTGGGTGAGCACCCAAGCTTATATGTGTTTGTAAGCTGCTTTGTGACTCTGAGGGAAAATGGTTATAAATTATACAAATAAATTACTGCTTTGACAAAGAAGCTCATGGCAAATGTGGTTTCCTCATCCTGTGACAGATTCTATATAGTGCATCCTTTTGGAATTCTTACACAATTATTACACTTAACTATAAATATAATATAGTCAAACATGGATGGTGTAATTTATCTTATACTTGTCTCAACATGTCAGAAAATTAAGACAGTGATGAATTATACATTACTGTACAAAATTTTATTATCAGAGACAAAATTCAAATTTGTTCTGCTTAAAATACAGAAGATAAAGTTTCTCATTAGAAAAAAATCCATTTAGTGAGTTCTTGGTTAGAATGGAATAAAAATTTCATGTTGAATACATACCAGTTCAATATTTATGGGTTAGGTTTAAAGGCATATCATAGAAAAATACTTGCAGTAAACGGTAATACAAACTAATATTTATTTGGTCAATGCTTTCAATTGCTTGATGATCCTTTTGTGTTCCAGTCATATTTACTACAAATCTATCCATTCCTATCCCCACATTTCAGGATGATAAAGAAGTAAATGACTGATTTGGGTGCAGTGTTATTTTAGAAGTCATGGAAGGCTGAAAGACAAGAGAGTCTTGATTTAAGTAAAATACGTCTGAATTAAGCAGGAAAAGCAGATATGCCTTTGGATGTTAAGAATGAACATAACTTTAGAATCATTATTCAGTCACCATTATTTTTAGTTCAGCACTGCATTTAAACAGTGGCAATCATCAGTCTCTGCACTACTCATGGACCTACAGTATCTTCTAAATGCTGAGAATGAATGCAATTGGTATGGTTTTCTCAAGGATGGATTTAACCATGTGATTAGACCCATCTGCTGAACTGGAACCTTTAAGGATGAGCCAGCAAAACAGCCATATTATCAGTGCCACCCACAAAGGACTGCAGGTCCTTTGCTTGGCAACATCCCAAACCCAAAAAAGCAGGAGTGATGCTTAAGCAATGACTCTCAGATAATGAATTACATTTATTGGCTGCAACCCAAAGGTCTCCAGGGACTCCAGTGCACATACTGAACTCTTTGTCAACCTCAAACATGCAGAGTTTGCCACCATCTCCATGAGTGCTGGAGCTTCTGAATCAGGATGCCTATGCATGGGAAGAGTAGGAACACTTTACCTTTATGGTAACCTTCTGTTTTGTTTCAAAATAGAAAATTAGACCATCTAAGGACTCCTAAGGTACACTGGAATCCTGTGCTGCACACAGATGAGTCATGAAAAGAACACCTGCATAAGGGCCTTCAAACTGACTTCAGTGCTAGAAATGACTCTCTTGTGCAGACAGTTGTCAAATTGGCACACACAGGTGCACAAATGGTGCACAGTCTGTTTATTTTGAATTGGACCTTGTGTGCAGAACTACTGATAAACCATCTATACATACATACATCAGAGAGGGACATCAGTTCTGCAAAAAAGCAAAGATTTGAGAGCCGATGGGAAATCTGCTAATTTTAAAGTATAAATTGATCTAAACACAGAAGAATCCCTCCTTTTATTACCACCATTTATCTACAGTACTTTCCCATTTTGTTATGCTAAGGGCTGTACAGAGAGGATTGTGCTTTGTCACCAACCCTTTATTGCCACTGCCACTTGTACAGCACCTGAACAGTGACCCCAGAGAACAGAAAACAGAAGAGTAATATGATGCATATACATATTCAAAGTCTGTAAAAATAGAAAAAATGAACCCCTTCCATACAATATTGGATTCAGGATTTGTTATAATATTCTTGTCCACACGAATACCTGTTTCACTTGCAGATTGTAAGAATACATCAAAATTATATTTACATAAATTTTAGCTTGCCATTTTACAGGGACCATATATGATGTGTAAAGATTAGCTACACTTATACTGTCATTGTGCGCTATCCAGAACAATTACACTGATTTGTTTTTTAGAGTAACTTTTTAGTCACTTCCTCAGCAGTGAAACTTGTGATGCTGTGAATTATGCAATATCCGAATCATACACTTACGATAGCTTATCATTAAATGCATTGTTTCTAATAATTAGCATTTTATATAGGGCTTTAGCGTGCATAATGCTTCACAGAAATTATCTCACAAATCAATCTTGATAGCAACTGTGCATGTTAAGCCAGTTCTTAAGACAGCATCTTACCAAAGGACATCTACAGCATAATCCTGTGTCTAGACAGCCATAGGAATTGTCAGAGACCTGGGTCACCCTTAGGAAGGTGCTCCAAGGTCAGAGCTGTGGCTGGGAATTTAGAAAACCTCCCCTCCACCCTCACAGTCAGTTACCAGTGCAACTTTGGACCTGGGGGGGCATACTGGAAGGCAGAGAGGGGAAGACTGCAGTTCCATGGGGATGCAGAGAATCCCAGTGGTGCCCTTGCTCCTCCTCTTCCTCCTTGTGAACAACTGGTTTCATCCATCTAAGTGTTTTGGAGGGTGAAGGAAGTTTGAGGCAATCCTTGCCTCTGTGCTCCTCCTGCCCTCCACTAAACGCTCACAATTTTTCAAGTTTGCCCCTGGCGTATGTGTGGCAGAATGAGTCTGAAGCCAGAACTCTCCTAGTTTACAACACTCATACTTAGCTGCTGTGTTCTGCCAGCTCTCATCATTGCAAACAGTACATGAAAGAAACAAAACACTGAATTAAATATCAGCATCTCTAAAAGCATGGATAAATATGGGAGTTTACCATATGTACATCTAATCATTAATTTCTCCCCCACAAAAGTGGAAAGTGAATTTTAATAGTCGATGTGAATATTCTGTGGTCCCGAAGAATGGAGAGTCAACAGACCCAATGAATCAAGTGAGTCAACTAACCCAGCTCCAATTGCAGACAAAGGTACAGAAACTGGGCAGGCAAAGTACCAGAACCGGGCAGCTTTTCCAGTGTTCTAATTGCTGCGGAAACAGGTTGCCATAAGGAGAGGGCATTCAGCACAATCAACAGGGTACAAAGAATGACACATGGATCGTGACCGCAATCCAGCAGTATTACGTGTACTTGAGCCTCTCGGTGGCAAGGGTACCAAGAGTATGCTTGGTCGTGTTCCATATGTACAATCCCATTTATAGCACAAAGTACCACATTAATTTTTAACCACAATTCGCTTGCCCTGGCCTTCATGTGAGTAAACATTAACAATTAAAAACACATTCAAGGAAAGAATTGGAGAACAACAGTCCACTGGTGGTTTAAGCTAGCAAAAAATATAAACTGGTAACAGAATTCTCTCAATTCATTCACAATAGGGCAGTTACAGGATCACAACTGGTGATGTAGGAGCAGTGAGACGTTGCGCTTGCTGTGATGTTTGAAATACGCCACTGGACCATTTACATCACATAGTGGGAAATGCTCTACGCATAATGGTACGCTTGGAGGATCAGCATGCTTGAGGGTCATGTGGACAAGAGTGCTCATGAGCAATCACCAGCTGCCTGGCCTTTCTGGTTGGGAGGTCTCTATGGTGATGCAGGGGAGACATTTTTCACACTATCAAGAGTACACGGGCTCTTTAAAACACTCAAAATGAAAGCACTCTTCATCTTTTTGAAGTGCTGCAATTCAAGGTACTATAGAAAACCAGTGTGAATGCACCAAGGAGACCTGTGTCATTTTGACTGTGATACTTCCATTTTATGGCAGAAATTGTACAAATATGGTTACAGTTCATTTAGGTGCATGTCGACAGTTTTTCCTTGTATGATGAAACAACTGTAAAAAGCTGGCATGTGAGAGGGATTTAGAAGATTTACTAACATAAAATAAAAGCAACCATGTGATTTAATTTGGGCGTGGGATCTTATTTAGAAAGAAATGAAGAATATTGACCAAGAATCTAACAGAACCTATTCACTGTAGATTGTTTTTTGCATTAGTATCCAAATTAATGGGGTAACCCCAACCCCAACTTTGATCTAAGTTCAAATCTAATGATGGGTTCAATTTGTAGCTACTTAGTAAATTCCTAGTTCAAAACTATAATTCAATTCAGTTAGAAATTACACGTCTGCACTAAGGGACAAATTGAGCATGCTCTCCTTGTGGTGGAGAAAGATCTAGATCAACTGGATAATTTAAGGCTTTTAAAGGACAATTTTAAAATAATTCTTAAATGCAAAGATCAAGATCATGATAATTTTCACCAATACTTTATAATCCTCAATTGATAAGCAGTGGGTGAAAAGCCAGGAAGGGCAATCCCTTCCACCATTATTGAGCCAGGAAAAGAGATTCTTTTCTTGGGTGAAACAGCAAGGGCATTTGTGTCCTTTGTTCAGCCATAACTATACTTGCTCAGGATGTGGCTCCAACCAACTCAACTGGACCCCAAACCAGAAACCTGGGAGTGCATTAGTACTTGCAGAGATCCTTTCCCTACTGTTCTTGAATGTCTCCACTCCATCTTCTCAACAGGCAGAAGTGTGGTTCTGAGGCTCCAAAACAAGTACTGAGGTGACGTAAGTGCAGAGCACTAGGAACTCCTGAGTTAATGTGAGGAAAGGGATGTGGATTTGGTCTAAAGTGAGTTTTTAGGATTATTGTTGAAAGTGCAGGTGCAGGGGAACTGGGGCCAGATTAGATCAGAGTTATGAAAGGCAGAGATAAAGAAAAAATCATAGAGCAAATCAGAACAAATCAAAACAGAGCAAATCCAGTTGATCTAGACTGATATTTCCTTTCCTGTCAATACAGCAGTTAACACATTTGGGGTTTTGACAACTAGAATTTGCGTGTGTGCACACACAGAGGTTATTGTGTCTGCCATGACCCTGCAAGACAGCGTGCCTCCACAGGTTGGGGAAAGGCCTTCTTCATGGATCCTTCTCCATTTCTGTGAATGACAAGCTCATGATTGCTTCAGCAACAGGGAGAGCATTCTGGCCGGAAGCGTCCAGTCAAGAAACAACCCTCTTCCTGAAGCAGTGGGGTACTAGCCCTGAGGAGGAAGCCTCAGCTGACTTGCAGGAGTATGGAGATGAGAGTCACTGATGTGATGAAGAGGCATTTAAAGAGCGAGCAGCTAAAGCTCTAGGAAGATTCTCTTACACTCTTCCCTTTCAGTTGGAATTAAGGTGGATTATGTGAAGAGGAAGAGAATAACAAGCAAAGATCCCACTTCCCTTTTCTGTCTGGGGCAAATAGAGCCCTATCTTCCATTTTTCCCAGAATACAATACATGGAATATGATCTCAGATGTTTCTATTGGAAAAAAATCATTTGAAAGAGTCAAATGACACGCAAGAGTTACCCTACCTCAGAACCTCCTACAGAATCCTCACCTGTGCAATACATTCACAACTTCATTGCTATTAATCCACCTCTTGACTTTCAGTTTAAAATTTACCTAAGATCACCAAAAGGATAACTTTGTTTTCAAGTGAATACTATACAACTGAAAATAGTTCTGCTTCAGAATCTTGCAAGTTAATTCTGTTGTTATCCACCAAATGTGCCAGAAATTGGTTTAAGTGCCCCATATATGGGGGGGGGAGGGGTACCGTACACCTTAACAGTCATGCTAACAGAACGGGTACTCAAAATGTTATGCTTAAACAGAGGAAAGTACGTATTACCTATAGCAACTGTATGATTTCATTATGTAACCGTTTTCATAAGTGCAATAGCTGCTTCACTGTCATTTGACTGTGTAGACTCACCCTCAGGAGTACCATAAGCTAAATTTATCAACTGAATGCTCACAACTGTTTCCAAAAGGAACACTAAAATAATTATAAATGCTAAGCAACTACCACCAACAACCAAAAAGCCCACGTGAAAACCAATGTCTGTTCTTCCAACATCCAAAGTACCAAAAACAAAAAAACCCATTAAAGCAAAATGGGTGCTTTTGATGTTGATCAGTCAAGGATGAATTGCAGGCAAATACTGCCAAGAAATTATGAAGAAACTTGCTTTACAGCTGATGATCTGTACTGTTTCAGCCTACATATTATCAGCTTGAGTATCTTATTTCAAGTTACAGAGGCCAACCTGTGAGAGGGTTGGCTGCAAAATATTAGTATCCGCCACTGATTACCACTGCATGGTGAAGTAGGTCGAAGCACCCTTAGCCAAATGGCAGCAGAGTTGCTGGTTAACTCACCACTGCTGAAGCGATATCAACCTGCATGTGACATCCTTTTCTTGAATATATGAATTTGAAATGTTAAAAACATCCAGAAAAATCATGGCACAAACTTCTGGAATAATATGGTTGGAAGGAAAAAAATCATCATCTCCCTTTTGTTCTTTGCTCACCTTCCAGTATTTGAGCTATGAACACTTATTGTTACTTGATTCCCTGCATTCAAGAAAACTAGAGGTTTAGAAAGTTAAAGAGCACAATCCAAGCACAAAAATATATGCATAAATACCCCATGAACTCAATGAAATCTGAATTAAAAATGTTGCACTGTATAAAAACTTGAACACTAGATTGCTGAAGAGAGGGATAAAAAGTCCACCAGTACTATGCACACTGAATTGAAAAAAATGCTTCTTGTATTATCTGATTATCAATGAAAAGGTCAGAAGCTTGTGACATTAAATTTTTGTGACAGAAATATTAGGAATGAAAGCCTAGAAATCAACTGCATCAATAGTGAGACCACTATGTGTAAAAGCCACTCTGAAAAAAAATGGCCATTGTAGACCCACCATTCAACACTGCTTCACCTCCAGCAAGTTCCGTATTCAAGATGATCAGAATGCCTTTATCCACATGTTAAAGAAAAGAACTTATAAAAGGAATCACTGAAGAACCATGCTGTGGTTTGCTACAATTTGCTGCAAAGAATGTCAGAATAGTTTTAAGATCTTAAATCCTGTGATTATATATATATATATATACACACGCACACACACATATGCACACACATGGGAGGCTGTCATTCCTAACTTTAAGAGGTACCATTCCAAATCTCAGTCCTCGCTCAAACAGCCTTGCTTTCTACAACAAGCCTTGTGTAGCCCACACTGCCACCATTTCTCCCACCTTCCTTCAGGCGATAGCCACAGCTCTCTCTCCCCCTCAGCTGATCATCCCCTGCTCTTGAACAAGCAGTTTCTTCTTCTGCTCCATATTCTAGTTGACCTACCATGCCCTACTGCTTCCTCCTGCTGCCACTTCCCAGCACTATATCCTGCTGTTTCCACTTCCTTGGTCCTAGCCCAGCTGCAAGTGAGGACTGGGTTAGCTTCAGGGCAAATCTCTGTTATAGCCATACGGTTTCTTAAAGCTGCATCTGCATTACTTGTGAGCTACCCAATTTGGCTTCGCTTGATTTCCAAAGAGAACTCCAGAAAAATCATATCACTTCATCATGGAGAAGAGCAGCTCCATGGCATGGCAGCAAATGCCCAACGCTTGTTAGAGTCCAAGCACTATTTTAAGTAACTGGAAGAAAGGCCTCTGTCCTTGCTTCTGTGGGGTGTCTGTATAGCTGCTAATCAGAGAAGAAAATGGAAGATCAATGTCTAAACAGATGTAACCTACTATTAGTTCCTTGTGGACTAAAGTGAAAGGGGAGGTTTCAAACCTGTAACTTGCAGGCTTTCACATCAGCCCGACAAAACTATCCAGAGACATTACGGACAACTTCTGAAGACCAAAGTTCCATGGAGACAAATGCGAATGCTTGATTTTTCTCCCCACCCAATCCTGACAGCTCTCCAGGCAGTAATTATATTTTGTTGCTGTCTGGCTTGAAGCCAAGCTACCACTTGCAGCTCATGTATAACGTGAAAAAGCTGGCAGTTGCTGTGGTTGTGACGTTATTATCTGTGCCATGCTGTCCTTCAAAATGAACTACGTGATAAAGTAACTATTTCCTTCATTTTGTGCTTGAATCATTGAAAATTGTGGGGATAGAGATTCTAAGCAGCTACACATGGTGGAAAATAGAAATACTTTCTACTTTGTAGGTTGCAATCAATAGTTTATGATATTCTACACCAGGCAGTGATGAAAGAGTACTGCTTACTAAGAATTAGCAAGCATATTATTGGGCAGATCTCTGAAAAATTTCTGAAAGGGAAAAGATAACAGAAGGTGTGCAGTGCAATTCTACACATATTTACTCAGACATAAGTCCCACTATGTTCAATTGGACCTACTCTCTAGTAACTGTGTTTAATATGGCAGTCTTTTGAATATATTTTACATGAACAAAGAAAAGCAAAACAGATATAAGATATTTTTAAATATAGGCTAGCACAGTCTTAACAGCTGTTCCAGATACCAGCCTGTTCAATTCTCATGGGGTAACTGCTTATAAAGAAATAGAGTATTAAACGTTCATTACAATTAAATATTGCCTCGGAAGTTTTCTTTGTTCATAATGCAATTTTGTCTCCTAAATTATTTCTGTTTTTTTCCCTTTGGCAATTTGATACATACTGGTCATCCTAAGACCCACACTAGCTAAGCAGCATCCACACAGAGGGATAATTTATGGATTCTGTCCAAAAAATATATGACCATCCTGCCATTAACTTATGATCAAAGCTAATACTGTTATTAGATGCTCCACAGTGAGTAAAATTTACTTTTGAAATTCCAGCATATTGTGTATGCATCTTCTGAATGTGTATGTGCATCCTTGACTAAAAATGGGGAGCATTAGCCTATAACTTATACCATCCTTTGCTATTCAAAAAGAGCCATATCCAAACAATATAACAGAGACAACTGTAGTGCTCACTTAACTAGCCTGCACCACAGAGAAGTGACAATTTTATCACATGTTGCTCATAGGTATCTTCTACTTGCTTCTTTCCATCCTACCTTGCTGTTGTAACACTGATTGTCATTGATAGTCTTTGTGCTTTTGCATAATGCCCATTTTGCTGTAACAAACTCACACAAAAAACATGGACACCCTAAGTAAGCATGCTGGAATACAGGCAGGAACCATAGAACCATGCACAAATATTCTGAAGGGTTCTCCCCTCCAAAAAAACAGACATCAACATTTACATGCACCACTGAATATCACATTTGGCCATGGTACAGTGTGGACTGAGTTTCGTAAGCATTCATGACCTTTTCTCTTTGTTGGAGTTTCCACCCCATCTCTGTCATATACAGTTTTGAGGAGATTGGTGTAAAAATATAATATATCTGTATCTATATATCCTTCCAATTGTAACTGGTCTTCATTGTATTGCCAGTCAAAGGTTCTTGGAATTCCACAGAGTGCTTCTCCTCTTGCAGAGTTTGGTACCAAGTCTTTGTCAGAAACACTGATTAGTGTGCTAGTGATTTTCTCAGCCACTGAAATAATTCTTCTTTATAAAGCATTTGCCACCGGACATTGGCTTCCACTGTTTCCACAGCTCGAGAGAAAGAGGCAGCTGAACCCTCCTCATAGGTGTTTATAAAGTTCTTCAGCTGCAAATAAAAGTTAACATGTTAATCTGGATCCAATTGACATAAATGCATTCTTCTAATGCACATGAACAAGTCACACAATGATGACAAAACTCTTGTCTCTGCTATGAAGGTTCTTGTAATATTTTGCATGGAGATTTATTACAAAATGCAGTAAGGCAACAGACTGCAACAATTAGCTGTGATGCAATAGTTTCAAATTGTGCTGGAGATATTGACTGCCAGTGCCTGATTATATTAACATCACTTCCTCTGACTCTCCTATAGCCCAGCTGCTTTATGTTGCAGACAGCTGGGCTCTTATCAAGTTTTACTCCTACATAGGGAAACTAAATAGGGAAAATTGGAAACATTCCTAACATAGCTTTAGAAGCTAATGTTAAGCTAAAACACTCAGACTCCCCTCTGAAGAGCCTTAGTTTATCAACTGTTCTAAAAGATGTGTTCAATTAGGCTTGAGAAACATATTTAATTCTTTATTGTAAACAACTGGGTGTTTATGTGTGAGTTTGAGGGCCTGCTCAACACACTTACAAACACTATTACAGCACTAACTATTCTTAGATTTTGTCATCATATAAAATTTTACTCTGTTAACTACACATGTTCAGTAGATTTATTTTTGACTAACCCCGCACAGAATCAGGCACCTAGACAAAAAGAAAGGAACAGTCTTTGTCTTAAATGAAACATTTGCATCCTTTCTGTAAAAGTATCCTTCTTAGGAAGTGAAAAAGCAAAGATTGGCAACATGTACAGGACAAGGTATATAACTTTACTGATTTTATGTTAAGAAAAAGAATAACAAATAACTAAGTACTGAGTCTGCAGCGTATTTACCTCATTTAGTTCATTTTCTGTATTAAGAAATTCTGTGACTCCACTGATAAGTTTTGAATTCATAAATAATGCTTCTCCATATCTGCAGCAGCCAGTCAAAAACACAAACATGGAATATATTGAGTGACAATGCCTTTGATTATTCAGATTTAAAAGATTTATATTTCAACCAACTGAACCTCCTTTTCCCAAAGTTTCTGTTCTGTATATCCAATCTAATTCATTAAAAGCAGGGGATAGCTAAACAAGAAGATACATTTATAACTAAAAGTGAAAATTTGCATCCCCTTCCATTTTGTTTTCTGTTTCTTATCATCAATCATATTTAAATGATTTCCACTGTTTAAAGAAATTTATCCTACCTGAAGACATACTAAACTTTCCCAAATGCGAAGTAATTAGGCTTACTGAATCTTGTACTATACAATACAATGGATAACTTTGGCGGGCTGTATAATGGAAGACCAACTGATATTCAGACTACAAGTGATCTGGCTGCTTTGCTACATTTCAGTATCCTCTTTGCTGGTATCTGCAAAGCAGAGCCAAGCATGTCTCTGCTTATGGAATCCACCAACATATTTGCATTTATATATCAACTGAAGTGCAACCATTCATGCAATAAACGAACATTTATTAGATCTGACTGGCTTCATACTCTCTTTTGCTTGTAAGGAGAGACGCTTCAATTGCTTGCTTGAAATGGCACAGCAATTAGGCAGTCATTGGTCTTTATTCTAAAAGGAACCTATGAGCATCCTTTCCACTCTTCCCTAGTGAATAATGACACACTGCTTTCTCTGTGTAATATTGATAGGAAGCTGCCTCATACCAAGTTATGCCACTGGCCTATCCAGTGTAGCATTATCTAAACTGACTAGGAGAAGGGAGATCTATTCCCAGCCCTGCCTATACATGCTTGAGTTTTAACTTGAACCTTCTGGATGCAGAGTGAGTGCTCCACCACTGATGGATAACTTTTATCCCTGTGCGTTTGTTATCTTGTAAATCATTTAAGCATGATCCTCCTTTCTGAGAGCTGCAGAACTCCCACAGGGTAGCCTTTCCCAACTTGGTGTTCATCAGCTCTATTGGATGGCAACCCCCATGATCCCCAGTCCACTGTATCTGGAGGACACCAAGCAGGGGAAGACAGCATCAAAGCAACCCATTCTGGCAAGCACACGGTCAGCCAGGGTGCTTTACATAAGAAAGGTCTCCATAAACATCCCATATCCCAATCTGCCCTACCTCCTTCCCATAGTCAAGGAACAAAACTTGTAGCACAAAGTCTTTTCATTTGTATATTGAGTGCCTATGAAGAGATTCCAAGGATGCGGTAGGAAGAAGCAGGAGGAAAAGGAGGACAGGATTCTTTCATGGTTTAAGGAGCTCCCTATGCATAAAGTGCTGAAAAAGTTCATGCTTTTTATTATTTAGTCTGTCATTTCTCTTTCACATTACCTGTTGCTTTATGAATTCTAGTTTTACACTGATTTTTAAGCTATTTTGCTCTTGCCCCATGTGTGCAGTTTCTTTATTTTGTAGGCATGCTAAGATCTATTTTCCTGTCTGCCCTTGTTAAAATAAAGTATTTGATTTGTAATCTTTTGCTATTTAGTTATTAGAATTTCATAGATTCATAGGATATTGAAATGGAGAGAAACTCCCCAAATCAATCAATTCCAGGTCCCCTGGATATTATGGCAACATTTAGAATAGTTTCTGCAAACAAAGAAACAAACAATGCAAAACCCTGGAAAGCAATAGCAGCATCAACAAATGCAAAAATTTATTAGTTTGGAATATTACTATGGTAGTGAAGTTGACAGCTCGTAACTTTTTACGGGTAAAATAAAACATCATGAGATCAGAAACAACAGCTCAATTCAAATGGTTCCAAACCACTGTGAACAAGCCACTGCAAGCCTCAGGCTTATATGCTCTCTACAACCCTCCCATCCTTAGGTGAAAAGAAGGGATAGAAAAGGCTTCTGATTCTAGTTTGCTATTTCAAACTAGTTTCAATCAAACTAAACTCTGATTCCTAATGATGGTTTATTGTTACATCTAAGTTCATTTAATGTGTCACTGATAACCGCCTAAAATGCATAAACTACGGACAATGGGAAATGCAATGGCAAATTCAGACATCAAATGTTTCCCAAACTTTATGTAATTTATACATAGGGTATAGATACTGTATCAGTGCTAATAATTAGAATGTAAATGTATTTTGACAAAATATTTTGCCTATTCTTGGTAGTCTATAAAGTTGATATTATTTACACAGTTCCATCCTCAAGTTTTAGATAGAATTAATTATACAATAATTAGGGGTAGACAAATTTGGCAATTTCAGATTCTCTCTTAAGTTCAATTTGAGATCTCTCTTTTGTTCAGTTCATTGTGAAATCTGAGCATTTCTCCAGTCTTAAATTCTGTGCATCCGGAACTTTGTGATATTTTCTTTGAAAATTCATTTGAAAATGTATACACATTTGGTACACATTTCTTTTACATAGGTATTTTGTATGCATTTTTATCTTTTGCAAGCTGTGTTCCTAATACAATGTATTTTAAAATAATAGATTTCCATAGACCTTTTTTTTTTTGACGAAAGCCTTCCATTCCAAAATCAATTGTACTGTGTTTTGGACTCTACTCAACTGAGCTGGTGCACTTACACTATTGATCCATCACTAGTATATGCAACCTACAGTGGTACGCCAATAACATAAGCAGACATGATGGGTCATTTGAGGAAAGATTTTGTACCAGCTTATACTATCCGTACCACTAGAAGTTGCTTGCTTGCTTATTTATTTATTCAAAGTTTTTATATGCAGTCCAATAGCACAGTTTCTGAATGGATTGCAAAAAAACCCAACAACATACCAACAAACAACAGATGGCATCCAACCATTAGTGATAAAGCCAAAGATAAAACCAATTAAATGTTAAAATGTTAGGAAAATAAAAAGGTTTTCACCTGACACTGAAAAAAATAAAGCGATGGCACCAGGCAAACCTCCCTGAGGAGCATGTAATAAAGTTGGCGTACCACTGCTGCAAAGACCCTTCTCCGACTTGCTACCCTCCTGATTTCCTTCGAAAGGGCTCCCAGAGAAGGGCCTCTGCCTCAGATATCAAGGGCGGCCAGACACATAGGGAAGAAGACTATGCCAGTGTAATAGGCAGGACAGCATATCAGGGGACACTGCTTATAAAAAGAAGAGTAAATTTTGGTTTGCATAGTGATTAAAAAGTATGAACTTAGGTTAATTCGGATTAAACTGAGAGTCCTGTTAATTCCTCCCTTACCATGAAACACTTGTGTGAAGGAATAGCTAAGCTTTTAATGTCAACTGATCCAGAGCAGCTATATTCTTACTTATTTACTGCAAGGGCCTGGAGAAAGCTGAGACCAAACATTATGAAACATCAGTATGTATGACACTAAACTATTCAGCAAATATTCATGTTTACCTTGCATTTAATATTTTCCATTTTTCTCTAAAAAACTTCCAAGCAAGATCTCTTCCATGTGGATTTCTTGCTACATGGATTATAACATCAATTGCATCCTGATCCAGGACAACTTCTGAATTGAGAGACAGGTTCAGAAGCCTTGAATGGAGAAAGGAAGAAAAGCATTCAAGTTTTTACTAACATAAATATTTCGACAACATATTATTTAGTATTGGGATTCCCAAAAAAGATCAGAAAACTCTGCGTGGTTACTGGAATTCATTACAGAGTTTTCTCTTTGTGCTTGTAAAGTTCAGAAAACAAGCTAGACTTTGCCACAAAAAATGGTTCCACTCTAATGTTGACCTATGCATGGCAGATACCTCAAAAAGCTGAAACTGAATTGCTTGATTTTAGATTTCACCCCAAATCTTTTTCTGAGATCATGCTTCCCCAAAATTTAAATGAGACTTGCAATTGTTTTCAAGTGTAATACAAACATTTCCAAAACTTATATTTTCAAGTAGTGAAAGAGGAAATCCCCAGAAATTATTCTTTTGCTGTTAAAAATGCTTCCTTTTGTGGAAAAATACTCAGGAAAAGGGAGACTTATACCGCTGATGCAAAAGTATTTGAAAAGTCAGGAAATTATCAGCTAAATTAGCACACCTGTTTAACAAATTTCTGTCATCACTACATGTTAAAGCTTCTAACAATATTTTCTTCTCTGAAACTGCTGTAGTAGAGTGGAATTTCATCCAAATGAACTCCCAAACATCTTCATCCATCAGCGAAACTCCTGTGCAGTAGACGATGTCTCTTACATTGAGCGGTATTCTTTAAAAGAATATATTAAAAACAGAGCAACATTGTATTAGTAATATGTTCAAGAAACACAACAGGTCAATTAAAGTTAGGTTTCCCTTTGCCATGCTCCTGTGGCAACACTAGTGAACAGTAGCAAACTGCAAGTAATGGAGTTGTTTGATTACTGAAATATACTGAAAAATTGTATCCAATGTTAGTTTCACTCAGAGTAAACCCCTTAAATGACTGAGGCTTAAGTTTGTCTTGAATAACTTAAATCCCAGTAATTTCAGTAGATCTTCTCTAAGTAGGATGAGCATTGGATGGAGGCTGAAGTGCAGGAAAAGAGAAAATAGAACACTTGTTCTCTGTCTTGATTCCTTAAGTTAAATATTCCTTCCCTGTAGCGAGTGAGTGGGCTAGACACTCACTCTTCAATGACTTCCAGGGCCATGTGTCATTGGGTTCTGAAGAAGACAGAAGAGGAGGTGATAGGAGGGCAGGAGGAAGACAGGGAAGCAGAAGCCTTTGATGCTCCATTAAGGTCACCCAGTTTCCTGGCAGACTGTGAAAGCAGACCAGTTTTGGAAGAGATGGAAGGGGACTCAGGTGAGGAAGGAGACCAGATTTATCTTGTCCCTGACCCCTTGGTGAGATAAAGGGGGCTCGTGTAAGTCTCATAGGCTGGTGAGATACTGACAGGATCCACCTTGAGGATGGAGTTGAACTGCTACTAAAGGGGAGATGTTCCAGTTTGGGTCCAGTGCTCTTTAAATGAGCAGAGGCTTATCACTGGAAGGCTATTTAGAGTTAAGTTGTCAATAAAGATCTGCATTGTAAAGGATTGCCTGCTGTTTCGGAGCCTTATGGCAAGGAGAGAAGGGTTGGCTCATGACACTCTCCAAGCTGTGGAAGGAAAACACAAAAATTCATGATTTTTGTGCTCACTCTGACTAGTGGCTTTGGGATGAGAACAAAAAGAGGATTCAAATTAGAGATATGGTGACTTCTTGGAGAATCCTTCCTTTATGGCACAGAGCTAATTAATAATTTTTAATTTGGCCTACAAATGGTCGACAAGGCTGTATGGGCCTGTTTTTCAAGGACTTCCCATTTTTACTTGTTCCTGCTATATAAGGAAGATTGCTCTAAATCAGCCACTATGTCAAAAGTAAAATGAAGAGGAGAAAGTGGACTATCTCTTCCACCAGCCACTTGAATTGGAAGCAGAGTAGAAACTGCTAGGGGGGCTTTTTCATAGACCATCCATTTGTTATTAACTGAACTTCTTCTACGGGGGTTCTCTAACCCAAGCTAATTTTACCTCTTAAGTGTTTGCAGTTCTTCAGTTTTAGACAATCTGCTAGTCTGATGTATATTACTTTACCTGGAAAATGTATGAAGACACTGAACTGCATTTCCCTAATATCAATGTACGAACTGTACAGATAATAGTGTCCAAATTGTTTGCATTTCAGTAACACAAGGATTTGTGCTCTCAGCAACGTTTAGCAGATTTCTGCAACATTGCAATATTGTAGTTGCTAAAGAAAATGGAAACAAGTGCTAGACTTAGGAAGGACCCTTGCTCTTTATCAGTGTAACGTAACACTTAATTACAGATTAAGATCCACCAGATAGACAACTCAACCATGCCTGTGTAGCCGCTTGGATCCTCCAGTCTGTGCAGTTTTTACACAAGACTGATTGAGTGGAATACCTCCTGTGCCAATGCCAATATGCTAATATCACTAAGCAAATAAAATAAAATATAAAAAGTGTGTGGGGGGGCAGTAAACCAAGAAAAAACAAAGAAAGAGCAAGAGTTTTATTATTTTAATACTGGTATAAGTCACTTGAAAATAGGGTTTGGGGGAAGCTGCTATAGATTGCTAATTCCACCCCAGAGAACCCCTGACCTGAACTTACAACCATGATAGCCAAAGGGGTAATTACTCACCACACCTCAATCTATTCAGCAAATTTGGGCTGAGCTGCAAAGAAACTGTGAAAATGATAGGCCATCACTCTCACAAAATGATAGGCCATCACTCTTAATATGGTATTAAGGGAGTGGCATTATTATTACACTTCTGTACCATCCATACCCAAAGCTCTCTGGGTGGTTCATAACATTGAAGTCACGCATCCAGATTTCAACCAGACCCAACCCTGCTTAGCTTCCAAGATCAGGCAGGCTCATGACTGCAAATGTCAAACACATCTTACTCTGTAGTACTTACTTGTAGGTATAAAACTTGAAAGTACATTTTACATTTGAACCATCCTTAATTCCAGTGTCAAATGGCAAGAGACCCCCATTGCTCACATTTTTGTGTAAAGTTATTATAACCTCCTTTTTAATCCTTGAGCTGGCTTCAGTGGGCTTTTCCTACAAGCAGGGCTGTAAGCCAATAGAGCCTCCAAGGGACACGGGAACATATGGAGACGAGCAGGCAATTCTTTTCAGTCTGATTGTCTCATTAGCTTTGAGTACTCTGAATTGTACACTGGCCACTTCATATTTGGATATAATCAGTAGGACATGAGCGTAAAAGTGCAGCATCTGAAAAGATGAATCATTTCCGATAATACCGAGGTGCTTATTTCATGCTTTCCAAAGTTTATCTCAATGAAAACTTAGCCAATTTGTTCAATACCACATCTTTTGTTCAATGTGATGACTGCCATAATTAGAGCAGCAAACAAAGCAAGCAATGCCTGAGTTGTGTGTATCTTCAGCTGAGGAAGGAAACTGTTGTATATGCACATTCTGGCAAATCCCATAGCACTCACGAGAGGCTAACAGTTTTGGTGAGACTGACAGTGCAGACTCTGATAATGAGATGATTGTTGAAAGGGACTCAGTTCTGGCTGCAGTCCAAAGCCCTGAGCACCCACTTGTGGTTGCTACGGGAGAGAATAGTTGAAAGGCAGCTGAGGGGCCAGTCAATCCACCTATGGGAACAGGGAAGAGCAACAATATCTTGAGGGTTCAACATTTTGCCTTGCATACGCTCAAAGGCTTGCATGTAAAATAAAGACATCTGGCAAAGAAGTGCCGGTGAGTCTGTCACTGCTGGGTGGGAGGACCAGCTTTCAACAGAAGCTTGAAGACAAATGGCACTGATCACCTACCAAGAAACCACATCCTGTTTTGTTCATGAATCACACGTAACATTAAGATGATGTGTACATTAAGGATATGCTTCTGTACATATTTACCTAGGAGTAAATCTCACTAAGCAGACACAATCAGGTTTGTACTGGAAAACTACAGATCCATGTCAGATCTACTTCAAATACATTTTCAGATCTACCTCAAAGTGCATTGTTTGTCACATTATTAGGAAATAATTAGGAAAATTAATAACGGCAAGTAAAAAACAAGCAAAAGCTTACTCATATAACAATGTAAGTTGCAGCCTTATGGAGCAAGGCTAGGTGTGGCTGGCAGAAAGGGAATGAAGTGGTGGATCCTCCATAGTTTCCAAAACCCTGCAGGCTTGCACTGGCCTGGGTGAGAGGCACAGGTGACAGCTTTGCCTGGCTGTGCACCCCAGGATACACTTTGCTTGAAAAAACAAAGCATGCAAAACAAAAACTGAAAGCAACAGTGGCCATCGAATTAGCTATTATTACATCCAGGCTAACGCTGGTTGACCGACTAGCCCAGTCTGTTCTCTTCTTGGGGACAGAGTCACAAGAGTCAGACTCTGGAGTCAGACGATCTGAAATAGCTTTGACCTTTCCCTGCCCTACAATATACCATTTTAGGGCCTACCAGCAGGAAGAATATGTCCAGCAGTCAGTTTACGCCTGCAGAGTTTTCTGTGGTGGAACAACTAAGGCCACTGAACCAGCTAGATCCCTCCAGGAAACTCTTATCACATCTGAATACCTTGGATGGATTAGGATTGCATTGCCCCGCTGCAATCCTATACCCATGTGCCTGGTAGTAAAACTTTACTGAATTCAATCTACTTCTGAGTAGACGCATATAACATTGCATTATTTGCACTAACACTTAGTACTTCCAAATGGAATTGTTTGTTAAATTAAACTTCCCCAGGGGTATCTAGCTTGCACTTAAAAAAAAAAAAAAAAGCTATGATGAACACATCAGAGTTGGTATAAGCATTTACTTGGAAAGCATCACTTTAAATTATATTTATTAGAATACTGTTATAATTTATGTGACCTTATTTATTTTGCTTAAGAGACATGGTAAAGATAAAATATGTGGCTAACATAGCTTATATTTAAAAATTAAACACTACAGAAAAAGTTGTTAAAAATTAAACAGAAAAAAATAATTAATGTCATGCTGTGCTTTTACAGAGAAATCTTTTTTCCAATGATTAATAATGAAGCTTTACAAAGAGTTAAGAATAATCATTTAAGTTATAATTAATTAGCACATGCTTGTTCTTGTTTAAACTAGGTTCTAGCAAATGGAAATACATTTATAAAATAGGTCCTTAATTATTTATCTTCTAGGCAAATGGTGTTCTAATTTCTTAAAATGTAATTGGATGCAGTTTAGACTGTTCTTTGATTTAGTGACTTGTTTCAAGCCATTTAAGGAAATGTTTAAGAGAGGAAGTTAATCAGATGTCCTGTTTCAATTCCAAGCATTTAACAAAAGCTTATTTTACTTGATATCTCTAATTGCAGACTCTTTATATAACATAGCATAAGAAAAAGAGCTAACTTTTCAAAAAGTCCGAATTAATGTAATAATTATTATTTTACAAGCTATGATGGTTATGCTGTCATTTGGGTCTAAGTATTTCATTCCTAACAAACTGTTTCCAGCACATCATGTACCACAGAAGAAGGCATTTTAGGACTCATCCAGTCAGCCTCCTTTCACTGCACTGTGCCTGAAAGATGCTTTTCTAACCTCTTTGGAAAGTAAGGGAAAAAGATTCTACTATTTGTCTGATCAAGTTATTCTGTTGTCAAATAACTCTCACTGCACTTTCTGATATCAACCTAAACCGGTGCTGCTACAATTTCGCTCCATT